CCGGCTGTGAGTCAGGCGCAGACCAGAGCGTCCCTCGCGACGTCATCGCACCACTGCTGTGACGTCATCGCACCGCTGCTGTGACGTCACTCACGACATCTGCGGAGAGGAAGCCCAGACCCGTGCAATGACAGACCTGCCCGCGGACGGTGGCGGATGGCCCAGCCTGCCCTCCAGCGGCCAAGTGGACACGACCAGCCACCCCCGCTGGCCGCCCTGGGAGCAGAGGCACAGGCAGAGGCCCAGCCTGGGCCCTGGGGATGTGGGTCCAGCAGGAAGGGAGAGGCCAGTGTGTGTCCATCAGTGAAAGCGCAGGGAGCTGGGGCACAGCCGGGCTCGAAGACCCGGCGCCAGGCTGGCGGCGTCTCAGGCCAGGGCTGTGAGAGCAATCGGTGGCAGAGAAAGCAAGAAGCCTGGCCCTGGTGACCCACTTGTCCACCTGCGAGGCCATTGTGGGCGCCTGGCAGGTCTGGCCGCGGAGGGACAGAGTATGGGTGTAGAGACCCTGGAGAACTCGGGGTTGGTTTCTTAACCCACTGAGGCCAGGTGCACGCCGTGGGCCTGGCAGGCACCCCTGCTGTTCTGAGGCTACGGCCCTTCCAGAAATGTTGGCGTTTGTTTTTAATTTTTTGGATTGTCAGCAGAGTCAAACAGCAAAGTCTTCCAGAACTACAGAAATAGAACTTCAAAGCTTTAATGAGAAGCCTCGGCGGCACAAGGGGTTAAAGCGCAGCACTGTGAAACTGCCCAGCCCCATCCCTGGCCAGGGGTGACCCTGGGGCGCAGCAGACCCCTCCTATCTCCCGTCTGCTCCCCTCAGCAGTGTGTCTCGTAGATCCACCTGTTCTGCTCCCCACTCTGTCTCTGGGAAGTCCTCACACCCATACCTCTAGCCTGTACCCCAGTTTGTATGTATAAATAAATACATCTTGGAAAGAGAATAAGAAGCCCAGCTCACATGAAGCGTTTCCCCCAAGTCTTTATTTCACGCCCACCATGCAGGGTGAGGGCAACGTGTGTTCTGGTGGTCTCTGAGCGCCGCTCGATGCGTACAGATACAGATGCGGCCGGTCAGCCTTTCCCTGTCCCAATTCCCTGTGCCTTGCGCTCCTCTACCTCCAGACAGACCCAGATACCGCATCCGCAGGACTCCAGAGCAGCTGGAGCCTGGCTGTTTTCTCCCAGATGAACCTGCAAATTAAATGAATGTGCTAGAGGCTGGCTGCTCACTGTCCAGGGTAGTTAAGGTAGTTAAGGTTCGCATCCATGAATCAACCTGGTTTACCTCTCAGTGTGGTGGTTGTGAGTCACCTCCTGAGAATTCCACCTACGTTGAATGTACTAATAAATAAACTGAGCTTGCAACACTCTGGACTGGGCTCGATCCCCGTAGACAATGCCATGACCTGGCCAGGCCTGGAGACGTGTCAGCACTCACGTGTGGGGGGCTGAGGAAACAGCTGTTGTTCTGAGCTGCAGCTGGGTAAAGATTTGGGGTAGGCCAGTGCAACTGGACGCTGGGGCAGAGGTGCTGTGGAAACATGGAGAAGGGGCATTTGTCTGTCAGCTCAGCGCGCTCAAGTGACAGGGTGACCCCAAAGTGGCAAATGCGACTGGTGCTTTGGCCGAACTTAGTTGCTAGCGGGGAAAGGTGGGCGTGTTCATCGACGTGGTTCAGTGATGTCTACTGAGCATCTACCAGGAGGTTTGTGTCTCGGTCCTACTGGCCACACAAAACCGAAGACGCTTGAGAAACTAGCTCTAAGCCTGTCGACTTCCTTTGCTCTGGCCGGGACTTCCTCCATGGCCAGGTTCCTGTCTGGGCGAGCGCCAGAGCTGTGGCGGGAAGTGCAGATTCCCTGAGCCACCCTGAGAGGGTGGGACGGTGTGTGGCATTCCGCTGCAAGCCCCAAGCCCCCAGGGCGTCACCGTGAAGCGCCGGACTTGAGTTCCAGAGCTTTCGACTGGCGTTAGAGCTGGAGGCAAAGAGCACGCCCGCCTCAAGGAGGAAGCTCTTTCTTGGGCTCTTAAGCTAGCTGGAGGCATCCAGAGCATTCCACACACACACACACACACCCCACGGCATGTCCAAAGCTTAGCAGCAAACCTACGGCTTTGCTAGTGGCTGTGCGTTTGGAACCAAGACCTTAAATAAAGCTACGGCAAAGGAAACGGCTCTTCCTACCTTCTCTACTAAATATCAGATGAGGCGGAAGGGGAAAAGGGGACAGGCGTGGAGGGCAGGGTAGGCGGCAGGGGGTGCGGGGAGACAGATCACACGGAGAAGGGCGGGGAGCGGACGAAAGTGACTGTTCGGGCGTCCCCTGGGGTTCGCAATACCTGATTTTACAGAGTTAGAGTTTCATTGTACAAGATACTGCACGCGGAGGTGTCTTCTTTCGAACAGTACGGAATTCTCTAGAAATACAAGGTGGACTAGATCACATGTGGGCAGCAGAGACAGTGAGCCGGGCTGCGCGGCGCCAGCGGCCCCAGCCCCGGCGTCTCCGGCCTGCCCTGGGCCCCGTGGGCCGGCGGAGACCACGGAGCCGCGTCCCTGCCGCCCGTGGAGAACACACCTGGCGCGTGCCGCGTGCCGGACAAGGGTGGCTCAGGCTCACCTGGCCGGAGCGAGAAGGAGCAGATGCCCGAGGAGGGGCAGTAAGTGCAGCGCCCCCGCGCCTCTCAGCCAGCCTCTCTCCCCTTCCCCAGCAGCCTCCTCAGGGCCCCCTTCACCTCCTTGTTCCTCAGCGTGTAGATGATGGGGTTCACCATTGGGGTGACCACGGAGTAGAAGAGGGAAATGAACTTGCCCTGGTCCTGGCTGCCGCTCTTGGCCGGGAGCAGGTAGCCGTAGATGGCCGAGCCGTAGAAGAGGAACACCACCAGCAGGTGGGCCAGGCACGTGTGTAAGGCCTTCCGCCGGCCCTCGGCCGAGCCGATCCGCAGCACCGCCCGCGCGATGGAGCAGTAGGACACCAGGATGACGCCCAGCGGGACGGCGGTGAAGAAGGCGCAGACGCCGCTGAGCACGGCCTCGTGGACGCGGGTGTCCCCGCAGGCCAGCTTGATCATGGCGGGCACCTCACACAGGAAGTTGTCCACCCTCCGGTGCCCGCACAGCGGCAGCCGCAGAGTGAAGGTCGACTGGATCAGAGAGTTGCCCAGGCCCCCCAGCCAGGCGCCGGCCGCCAGCAGCCGGCACAGCCGCGGGTTCACGATGGAGCTGTAGTGCAGCGGCCGGCACACGGCCACGTAGCGGTCGAAGGCCATGACCACGAGCAGGATGCACTCGGTGGCCCCCAGCCAGAGGAAGACGTACAGCTGCGTCACGCAGCCGCCGTAGCTGATGGTCTTGTCCGGCCCCCACAGGTTGAGGAGCATCTGGGGGACCGAGCTCGTGGTGAAGGCGAGGTCCAGGGAGGACAGGTTGCTGAGGAAGAAGTACATGGGCGTGTGCAGGCGGGCGTCCAGGCGGGACAGCAGGATGATGCTTGAGTTCCCGACCACGGTCAGCAGGTAAGAGAAGAGAATGACCACGAACAAGATGGTCTCCAGCTGGGGGTGGTCGGAGATGCCCAGCAGGATGAAGCCCCCCGAGAAGCTGTGGTTGGCGCCGTCCATCCTGGCGCCCCCGGCCTCGCTCGCTCGCGGGTCGGTCACAGCCACTGCAGGGAAACGGGAGGAGGCAGCGCGGGCGGGTGAGGGGCCGGGCCGGGGCTGGCCGTGGCCCACAGGGCTGGGGCTTCCCTGACCCGACCGCTGTGGCCCCCGACAGCGAAGCTCCGCGCTCCCCAGACGTCCAGCGGGGCCACCTGGGAGGAGGGTGAGGGAGGGGCGCTCGTGAGCGCCGCAGAGGGGCTCGTCTCTGCGCCAGCCGCCACGGCAGCGGGACCCTTAGAATTCCATGTGGAAATTCTCAAGACACATGTGTGCAGGCACGGGACAGACACGCTCCAGGGAGGCAGAACACACCCACCGCAGCTGGGCAAGAGTCCCAGAAATCCCTATAAATTTCCCTTTCTTCTAGGTGAGAACGGCTGGACCAGACCCATGAAGTTTGAAGAGTAACACAAAGAATCTATTTTGTAAAATCTACGTTCAGGGCCCTCCCGGAGGCGCAAGGGGCCAAGCGCAGCACTGGGAGGCTGTGGGCAGCCGCTGCAGCCGAGTTCAGTCCCCGCCAGGGAGCGACCCGGGGCGCCGCAGCCCCTCCTGTCACCCCGCCGCCCCCTCAGCAGTGGGTCTCAGTGGATCCGCCTGTTCTGCTTCCCGCTCTGCTCTGCTGAAGCTTCTCACCACCCCTGCACTTCTGGCCGGTGCATCAACAAATAAATCTTTTTAAAAAATCTATATTCGGCCCTCCCTGGGGGCGCAGCGGGTTAAAGCGCAGCACTGAGAATCTAAAGCCGCTTCAGCATGAGCTCGATCCCCGCCTGCCCCGGAGGTGACCCCAGGGCGCGGCAGACCTCTCCTGACCGCCCGCTGCTCCCCTCAGCAGTGGACTTCATCGATCTGCCTGTCCTGCTCCCCGCTCTGTCTCTGGTGAAGCCTCTCGCCACCCATCAGCCTCTGGCCTGTACCCCAGTTCTGTATGCACAAATAAATAAATCTTTACAAAAAAAAAATCTATATTCACTTACAGGAGGAATGTAGGGAAACCAAGTAAAGAACAGGACAAATGATTACAATAAGTAAAACAAAATGAACAGGAACTATAACTCAGAGACATTCTGCAGGGGAGCGGGGTGCAGAGGGATGGAACCGGCGGGCGGGGAGCAGCCCAGGGGACTGTGGTGTCGGGCACGGGTGACCTGGTGGGGTTCTGCAGGGCCAACACCGAGAGGATCGCGCGTGCACCGTACAGAAAGGAAGAGTGATGCAAAGTGCACGTGAGCAAGACGCATGTTACAGGTCCACCAGATCATGGCAAAGAGTGGACAGCCAGTGTAGACTTACTGGCCCGAACCGCAAGACAGAGCCCTGGGCTCCCCGCGGCAAGTCCGGCACAAACTCAGACGCGCCTGTGAACGGGGGTGCAGGGGGCTGCAGACAGGCTCGGGCTTGAAGCAACTCGTGAGTTTCCAGGGCTCGCAGGGGAGACCGGGACATCTGGAGGTGACCCCTCCTGTGCTGAGGAACTGCGTGCATCTCTCCAACAAAGAATAACTCTTCACACCTCAACAGCAAAAGGTAATTCTTGCCACATGCCAATGACTGCCCCTCCCTGGGGCTCGTCCTGGGGTTCCCCAAAGGTCCTAAACCAGAGTCCTCCTAGCTCCCCCTCACTAATAAACTAACACAAAAGCCTTGGGGCGCCGTCCTCATCCAGATCCGTGGCCTGGGAGCCAGCACTCGGCCTGACCCCAACACTGGGCTGGGGGCGGCGCTCAGGGGAGTGTAGGAGCCTGTCTGGGGGCCATCCGGGGTGCTTAGCTGGTCTGGGGGGGGAGCCAGGCCCTGCAGTGATGTCCCGGCCGGACGCCTGAGGACCCCAAGAACCGTCCTGCTCACCCCAGAGATGCCTGGTGCTGGGTCCGCCCAGCCAGGGGCTACTCTGCTTGGCTTCCTGCTTCCTGCGGTCAGCAGCTGACCCCTAACGAGGCAGGGCGCCTCAATTCTCCTTCGGCGCGTGCTCACAGCTCAGGCTCTGTGAGCAGATGGGCCGTGGCCAAAGGGCTCCACTGCCAGCCCAGCGGAGTGGACACAGTGGCCGCCAGGGGCGAGGTGACCGCCCGCCAGGCTGAGGGTCTCGACTGCCCCTACCTGATACCTGAAGAAGAGACGGTTGGGTTCCTTAGCCTTTCCCGAAGGAGCAAGGAGCAGAGTCGACGCCCCGGGACAGTGCCCCTGCTGGCTGGGGCCCCAGTGACCTCGCCCACCTCCGCTAGCCCAGGCCACGTGCCCGGCCAGGCTGACTGGGTCCCCCCAAAACGGGCTTAAACCCCGCAAGCAAACTGTCCGACAGCAGCTGGCCTCCCCTCTAGGGGCATCTCCTGGGTTCCTCCTGCTCTCAGGCTGTCAAGCTGCCCGGCACCACTTGCAGGATCCCAGAGAGCAGCCAGGAATGGTGCGGGGAGGCAGGGGGAGGGGGGGCTCCGGGGCGCCCACAGGAACAGCGACAGCCCCTCCGCTGCCTGCAAAGTCAGTGTGGAGTTAGGGGTATTGAGGAAAGCAGCCAAAATGCATGCATGTCTGCAAAAAGAAAGGATTTTCAGGTTTTCAAAAAGGGAAGGAAAGACAGGCAGGGCGGACAGGGCAGGGGGGAGGAGGGCAGGGGAGAGGAGGGCAGGGGAGAGGAGGGCAGGGGAGAGGAGGGCAGGGGAGAGGAGGGCAGGGGACAGGAGGGCA